GCAGGACCTCCACAAAGCCAGGCTGTCAGGAGCTCGTAACCATCAAGCAGGGCTCAGGTTCATTCTGTTTTTCCCAGAGGTGAACTGGCACTGCTGAAACTGCCACAAATCAGAGAGGGGGGGAAAGCTTATTTTTTTTGCTTATTCTGAACACGGGAAAAATGTAACAAATGGCAAGGAAGAATCTGACAGGCTTCGAGGAAGGTTTTGAAATAACAGAACCGCAGAAGGCAAAGGAGAATAGCACTTAATTCATCCTCCTTAGGGTAACTCTGCAGTTTCCCTTTCTTCTACCCATTTTGGCAGCCTCAACTGCCTTCAGACCACAGGCCTTGCCCATGAACTCATTCTTCTCTCCCCTCTCACCGCACAGCAGGCGACAAAAGCATCCTCCAAACACGACCACAGCTCCACCTTGACCACGGAAAACACCACGAGCAGCCAAAGGAAGCAGATGTCTAGCAGATCCATGCAACCCAGAGACAACCCAAATCTAATCTACTCCTCTAAGCCTACGTGCAGCACTGCTGCTACCCACTGGTGTGCGGAGGCACGAAGGAGAAGGGGGAAAAAACATCGGGCTGGCTTTAAATACCTGCTTTTTTCTGTGTTTCTGTCACAGGCACAGAGGCAGCAAACTCAGAGGCTGGTCTGATGACGCTTGCTTATGGTGGGAAGAAGAAATTCAGAGGGCAGAAGACAGTGTGTCAGTTAGAGGGTGAAGCAGCGCGGGGATGGGGCAGGGCTCTGAGAGGACTTTTTTAAGTGCCTGGCTGACCGAGGTGGCTTTAAAGCAAGGAGGGATTTTAATGCTTCTAAAACTCAGAAAGGGGGTGACAACAGGGTGTCTCACTTTGGGATTCTGACCCTGCTTGGGGTTACTGTGTCTCCTGCAAACGTGTCCCACCAGGAGCTCGAGGGGTCACCTCTTTCACAGGATGTTTCCCTTGAGGTCCAGGTGAGTTAGATCTGCACCCTGTGGGGACGTCATAGTGTTTAAAGAAATACTTTATGTTTTGCAGGGAGGAGGAGGAACGTCTCTGGCCAAAAGCAGATCAGAATTAAGCTGGGCCTTGATTCCCTATTGCTGGTCAAGGGCACAGGTGGACCTTTGTCATCAAACCCAGCGTGTTGCCCAGGTAAGAGCAGGTCCCTGAGCTGCTGGGTGGCCCTGGCTGCCTTCTTATGTGGGACAGCCCCTCCAGGGACTGTCACCACTCTATGGTGGGACCTGGCTGTGCAGAAGCACAGATGGGGATCTGGATGGGGACAAGGAGCTTGGAGCTCAGGCCTGACTGTATCCAGGCAGGGATCTGTCAGCTGGGCTGCCATCTATTAATTTTGTCCCTTGCCCTTAGTTAATGAAAGCATGAGGAAAACATTTTCTCTGGCCAGGAAGCAGGTTTTGGAGAAGGAATAAACCCCAAGGTGCATGATGTCTCTCAGGTCCCTCAGAGTAGTTTGGCAGGAGAGATTTCCCCCCACCACCCCCAGCCCCACAGGTGCATCCTGCCTACGCCAGATGTACCACACAAGGCAGAGCACTGCAAGTCAGACACAAGAGAGGCACTAAGCACATCACCCACATGTACACAGCTAAAAAACAGCCCTAAAATGTTGCTACAGGAGAGCATGGATAAAAATCAAATGACCCCAAGCATTTGGTGTGGATGGAGATGTGACCACTGCCCCTGCTGGGGCCGTGCTGATGGTGTGAGCTCCAGGCAGGGGTGGTGGATGAACCTCCTCCTGCACAAGTACAGCATGGATCTGGGTGAGGAACACTTCTTAACAGAGCTGAGACTTCTACTTTGTTTCCAGGGTCACTCCAACTCCATGGAAGTTGGTCATAAGCTCTCAGCTTCCTGATTAACTCCCCAAGCAGGGTACTTCCATGAATATATCTATATTTGCATAAACATGCAATCAAGTTTCCTCATCCCTTTGACTGGCTTCTGGCAGCTCCCCCAGACAGACTGTTACTAACATACTGTGGGTGTAAAACGTCCTCCTGGGAAATATCAGGCCCTGAAAGCATGGCAAGGGGAGGAATGCGTGTCTAATTCCCCTCTGAGAAGCTCAAAAAAAATGTCCTGCTGTTAAGTTTTATCTGCTCATTTCCAAAAGACAAGCGAAAACGCCGTCTCCTTGTTCACGGGGGGAGGGAAGGAGGAACCCCCAGGAAAAGGACAGAAGTTTTCCTCCACGGGGTGATTTTGGAAATTAGGGAAGGATGTTTCTGGCACGTGTGTGTGAGTTGCAGCCCCACATGCCCCCTGGCTGCTTGTACAGCAGCTGCCTGGGGAATGTTGGCAGGAGGTCAGGGATGGAGCAGGATGGGGTGCAGTTCCCCTCTCCCTCCAGAGAGATGTGTGGTTTAACTTTCTTATGGGACAGGAAAATCTTCCTTGCCTTCCTGCCCTGCCTTGTGGTGGAGCTGTAAGAGAGCACCTCTTGCAGCCCTGCCAGCCCTGTGCAGGACAGCATTGCCAAGTGGCTCTAGGACGGACGGATTTTGAAAACCTTCTGTTTTTAAAAAACAAGAAAATTGAGAGGAAAAAAAGGGAAAAGCAATGGTTCCCCCACATCCAGTCCTGGCTTTACTTCTTGCTGTCCTGATGGTAACAGAGGGACAGCTGGTGAGGTGGGATGGCAACCCATGGGGTGGTTGTCTCTTGACTTTGAGGTGGACCTGCTGTGGCTGTCCCTGCTTACAGGGACCATAAACCTTGCTCCTGGCTCATGTTGGACAGGAGCTGAATAAAGATAACAGCAAACCAGAGCTGCCTGGAGGCTGGGAGATGTGAAATGAGTCAGGGTGATTTTTATCCATGTCTCTTTATCATCATCCTACAGAGCAGATATCCAGGGCCACCGACACGGCAGTCCCATGGGAAGCAGCTGAAGAGAGGAGCTGGGAAGAGTCCTGGCCTCCAGGTGAGGCAGCGAGCGTGGCACCCACCTGGCTGGGTGGTGGTGGCTGGTAGGGGCGTGGTGGTGGTGGTGGTGGTGGTGGTGGTGGTGGTTGAGGTGGTGGTGGTGGTGGTGGTGGGCGTTGTTGTGGTGGTCGTTTTTGCAGTGGTGGTTTTTGGGGTGTTTACCCGCTGCGGTCGCTCATACGCTGACAAGCAAAGAGAAGAGGTGGGAGGCACTTACTGGGGGGAATGGAGGGTTTCCTTGCCAGCCTGCACTCCCACGAGGCTGCTGCTGCTGGGCTGAACTGGTGACTGATTTCTCAGCACGGTCACAACTGGGGCACCGAGAGGATTAAGGCGACGGCAGCTCGATGACACACATGAGTGTGTGTGTGTGTGTGTGTGTGTGTGTGCAGGGGCTGGAGGCTGTGCCTGTATCAGCTTACTCTGTTGGTGCAGATATTGGCTTAAATACTTACAGCTCTATCATAAACTAATTGCCAATTAAGCTGAAAAGGGGAAATGAAGGCATGTCTGGGCAAGGATGGGGCGAGGTGCAGGCGGAATGAACTCCCAGCCCAAGCTGTGCTTCCACTGCCCAGTGTCCACATGCCCAGTTGTGCTCCTTACCCAACACCATTCCCTCCTGACACCCCCAAACTACTCAGCACCATCAAAACCAACCAGGATCACTGGCACCTGTTCATTTCCACTGGCACCCTGCAAATTAAAGGATGGTTCAGGGTCAGGGAGCCCCCGCAGAGCTGGGCAGGAGCCACCCCGAGTGTGGCACCACAACAGCCCGAACTGAAATAACACTCAAACACAAATTCCTACTTAACTTACACCTGCTGCCCTCCTGTCCTTGTTTGTCCCACTGCTTCATGCAGATTATCATGCTTAATTTCATAATAGCCCTGAGCTAGTTTAAATACTTAATTTAGGTCACTTCTAGTCTCCTGTGCAGGCTAAATAATCTCTCCTTAACTGGCCTTGGACACAAATCCCTCCTGTCCACCTCCTGCACATCGCTCCCAGCACCCCCAAAGCTTCTCCCCAGCAGCAAATTTTGATGGGAAACGCTTTCCAGTGAAACAAAGGTAGAGCTGAGGATGCCAAGCTTTGTTAAGGGGGGAAAAAAAGAGTTATCAAAATGGTTTTGACCAGGAAGGTGAAGAACATTTTGGACTGTTAAAACATTTATTTTTTCTAATTCTAAATTACTGAAGGGAGACTTTTAATTTTCATTTGAAAATTTTAAGCATTTAACTGCTTAAAATCTAAATATGGCTCATTTACCCAGAAAACCTGTCCTCCACTTGTCAATTAGGTGCATTTTTCTTAATTGCATTTGCATTTCTCTGAAACTCTTTCTCCTCCAATTCTTCCCACTTGCCTGCAAACCAAAGAATTCATTATTCATTCAGCTCTCTGATTTGTTTCTTCTGGAGGGGAATTCTGAGCCACAAAATTCAAACCCGGGCTTCTGCTTACCCAAAACTCCAGGCTCTTTGATATCAGACTACCTCCAGCTTTGTTAAATAAGGAGTCCTCTCATCCCATCAATCTTGCAGCAGAAATCCCCACTGAGCTCTGCTGCCTTTGCTGCCGACACTTCACAGACATATGTTCATACACATACACGTGTACATGCAGATGTACACATGCTCTATATGTTTTTTTACTGATAGCCCAAGGTGACCCAGACTGGATTCTATGCCAAATAATTCACACCCAGCTCCTTCTCAGAGCAGAATCCTGCAATCCTGGAGGGGTGGGGGGAGTTCACAGCGAGCGCTGGTGATTTTGAAGAGTCTTTTTTTATTTCCTTTCCGGCTGCCATACTAACGAACCTCATGGGGGGAAACCATGCCAGAGGAAGAGGCAAAATGAGGCTCCTGAAGTCAAAGGAGGAAAATGTAAGACTCTTCGGCAAGACAGAAAATGAGGCACAATTAGGGAAGACTTATTGCCTGGAAAACGATAATGGACGGAAAATAACCATATTTCTTTCTCCTAGTGACATCCACAAGGACCATGCACCGAGGTGTTAAATGCCAGCATTTCAGTTTGGGTTTTACTTACTGCCAAAGGCTGAGCCTGCAGCTGCACCTGGAAAAAAGAAGAAGAAGCCCAGTCACTGGAAGCAGGGCAGCACCAACTTTCTTACCAGCAGGTCACACAGACACACAACCTTGGACCAAACAGCAGTTAATTAGTGGGGGTCTTGCTCATGGGCACATCAGTTTGCTGCAACAAACAGCTTAAAAGCTGCTTTTGTCAAACCACAGAAGCAACCAGACAGTGCTGTCTGGGGTCTTGGCATCTCAAGCCTGTCATGTGGGGAAGGAAAACCAGCAGTGGCCTTTGCTGATGGTTTTTTCTCTTAACCGTTTCCTTGACCTGCCCTTAAAGCCCAGCAAAGGACAAGCACATCCCCTGAGGCTCAGTGGGCTAAGGACAAGCTGTAGGGACTGAACCAGTTCTCAGTGAGCAAGAAGGGCTGGACACTCTTCCCACTGCAGCATTTGCTCCACAGGACACTGCAAAGGCACCAGCTCCAAAGTCCATCCAAGGACCAGCTTCTGGCTTTTGGCACCCAGGAGATGAGTGGCCCTGCTCCTCCCTGCTGTGGGTAAATCATGGAAAGTCTCAGCTCTGCATGAATATAAAGCACAGGAGCAACAACAGAAGAGGTAGGACTACCAAGAGGAGAGGGCTTCAGAGAACTGCCTCTGCTGCAGAGGAAGAGGATGTTGATGTGGGGAGGAGGAAGCAGCAGAGAGAGTTGGGGTGGGGAGGAGGAAGAAGACTGAGTGACAGATGGGAAGAGAGATGAATGGGAGAAGAGCAAGCAGAGGAGAAAGAGAAATAGGAAGAGACACAAGGAACGGAGGGGAGGGAGAGAGACAGAACAGCATGTCTGTGCCTGTCAACACCAGAAACTCTCCCAGGCTCCTTTGAAGCAATGCAGCCGCTTGGTGGGAGCTGACAAGCTCGTTCCCTTTCAAAGAACCTGCTCGTCTACCAGCCCTGGCACACACAAAACATTCCTGTCACGGCCTTCGGAGCCTGAATTTCAGCTTTGATCATCTTAAAGCACATGAATCTTTCAAAAAAATTTGGGGGGTGGGAGGGAAAAGGTTCTCTTTGGCAACGCTCAAAGCTGCTGCTTGAAAGGCTGGAGTGGCCACCGTGGCTCCGTGACATTTAAACAAGTCTGCCAATGTGGACTGGACAGAAACCCAGGAGGAACAGGCCCATCTGTGATGTTTCCTGCCCCAACTCCCCTGCTCGAGCGATGGTGGGGATGGATCCTCCATCCCGCCTGCGCGCCTTTGCTCCTGTCAGAGCCTTGTTCCAGCAGCAATTGGATGAGACTGGAGCTGCGCAGAGGGACCGGAGCTCGCGGCGCTTGCCTGGAACACTGACGTGCACAGAACGGGATCCAGGAATCAACCTGCACTGCTACTCCTACTCCCCAGCCAGTGCTCTGCTGTGGGTAACAATGCTTTCTCTAACGGACAATAATTTGCATTGCCACAAAGCCATGGACCTGTATCTTGGCCTGAGGTTATCCTCCCTATTCCTGACCATCATTTAGGCTCATCGCTCATCTACCAGCAGCCAACACACCACCTCTGCATCCACCAGATCCTCTTTCATGTCTCTGTGTACAAAGACAGGGGTAAACACCCGCTTCCCTTTCGAAAGCTGAGCATCCTGCACCGATTCCAGTCACAGAAGGACATGATGAGACCCTGCTCCCATCTGTGGGTGTTGTGCAGCCCAAGGTGGGAGTGCAGCCAGGGCTGGCTCCCTGCAGGTTACTTACATGCATTGGGGGACCCGTTAGGGAGAGGCAGGTAGGATCCTGCTCGCCAAGACCGGGAGCGAAAGTTCTTCTTGCACTTGCCACAGTCCTGCCCCGTGGTGTTGTGCTCACACTCGCACTGCAGGCTGCCCTCTTTGAAGGTGCACAGGTTAGCATGGAGGTTGCATTTACACCTGGAGGAGGAAGACAGGGAAGAGCTGTCAGGTGTCACTGCTGCTCCTCTTTGCCCCCGGTGTAGTGCTGAAAACGTAGTGCTGAAGCCAGGCTGGTCACCCCCTTTCTGTTCCTTCTGCAGGACTTATCACTGAACTCAGCTGTTTTCCCCAGGTATGTGCTGGAGTTATGATGTCCAATTTCTTGCCCAAGGTGCATCTGCTGTCTCTAGTCCAAGATGAGAGATGCTTTCCTCCCACCATCCGACTGCAGTAGCACAGATTTTAATGGTAAGTCAATGTCTCCAGCTGAGGCTCCAGGAAGGAGTCACTCACATTTCAGGGCTGTTACAGAAATCTGGGTGATTACCCTTTTACTGGGAGGCAGTCTTGGACTTTAGATGGAGGAGCATGGCCAGCACTGGTGGGACTTGGCCCTTGCCCCTTGTGATAAAGCCAGCAGTGTTTTCTCCCGTGGTGTGAAGCTGCACAGCACAAACCCTTTTCCCCAGCCTGCTGTGACCAAAATAACACAGAGAGCAAGTCACCATCAGAATGCGCCTCATCAGAGAAGGCAACAACTAAAAACACTATTCAGCAATTTGCAAACATTAAGAAACTTTTAATGAGCTGTAGTGCAGTATGCAGGGAATAATTATGTCTGTGCACAATAATTCCTGTTGCTCACACTCCGGAGGTGACTTGCGCAGAGCACAGAGACTGAGCCCATAACTCACACGTGGCTCTGGTGACTCCTGGGCCCGAGCTCAGACCATCAGACAGAGACTTTGGGGACCAAAACATCTCATTTCATTCCAGACAGTCGATCCCTAGCACAGCCCGATGCTTTGTGCAATAATTTACACTCTCAGAAGCAGAACCATTAGGAAAACAGTAACGCTGAGCCTTTTGTGCACGGGTGAAATCTGATGGGGCAACACTTTGTTTTACAGAGCTGAAGAGATGCAGAGCTGAGGGAATGAGCCACATGCAGAGAAGACAGAGGAAACATGGCCTGCTGCTCCTTGTGCTCTATCTGCACTGGGATAAACAGCCTGGATTAGGCTGGGAGCTGGTGCTGTGCATGCCCCCCAGCTCCTGGTGCCTCTCCCCCTCTCCCTTGGAGCCCCCAAAGAAGCTCCCCAGCCACCTGCCTGACCCACCAAGGCTGCCTTTGCTGTGCTCTCCTCACGCATGGCTGGATAAGCTGACCTCATGTATGATTTTTCCCCCCCCTCTCCCCTCCCTGTCCTTAATTCTAGCAAACCCCGCTCAGAGGCTCAGCATAAGCTGGATGAACGATCTCTCTCCCCATCTTACAATCCTGCCCTGTCTCTGACCAAGCAGAGGAGGGAATTTTGCAGTTTCTAAAAGGGAAGAAAGAAGAAAACGTGTTCCAGGGAGCAGAGGCAGACACACTCAGCATGCTCCACTTGAAACTGTGTGTTGGTGAGAGCTGGAGATGCCGTGTCACGGCTGAAAGCATTAACAGCCTCCGAGCATCGGTGCTCTGGGAGCAAGTCACAAATCCAAGCATCCAGGGGGAGGAAGTGGCTTTGGCTGGTACCTACACAGGAGGGAAGCTGAATTTCAGATGCTCTGTGTCCCCTCTGCCTCTGGTGAGGAAGGATTTTGGCTGAGCTGTCCCAGCCCTGTGGCAGAGGTGATGCCCAGCCCCGGAGTGCTGCAGAGCCTGGCTCTGAATTATTCAGCGTCCACACAGCGTGGCCTCCTTCTCTCACTTCAGAATGAGCAGACGAGAGCAAAGCAGGCAAGATAGTGGGTTAAAGCAGGTCAAAGCCTCACTGCTGCTGCTCTGGGCCCAGCCTGAACAGAGCAACAGCTTCTGGGAGCTGCAGCTCTCCTCTCTCCTCCCTCCTCCTGTGGTGGGAGCGAGGGGATGGGACCAGCTCCAGGGCACAGTGTCACAATCCAGCTGAAGGCAAGTTTAAGAGCCCCAGGGGAGTGGGTTGGAGGAATGCAGGGACTGTCATGCCCCTTGTTTTCCCTGAGGGTTGGGATGATGTGGAGGGTAGTGCTTGGCTCCAGTCCTTGACCCTGCAAGTCTCACAGTGGGAACAGCAGCCCTGGGGGCCACCACCTGGTCTCTGAGGTGGCCTGGGACAGCCTCAATAACCCCCTCCACACATAGCACATCGTTGCTCCTGGCATCCCCCACCAAGAGCCAAGCAGATGTTTTGAGGTGCTTCTTCTGGCTCCAAGCTGCTGCAGTGCAGGAGGGCGAGACCTGTTAATTTGGCTCCAGCTACAAAACCTTCACCAAGCAGTGGGACCCAGACTTCTTGCTCTAGGGAAAACAAGAGCAGTCAGATGTGTCTGCTCATACACACACACTGCTCACTTACTGCTGAGGAGGGCTGGGAGCTGAGCACCAGCTCCTGGGACAGCCCCAGCTGCCTCCTGCCCTGGCTAGCGGGATGGAGATGGGGTGGGCGCTCAAGGACGTCCCCCAGCCACTGCATGTAGGTGTGATGGAGCTCTGCTCTTCCCAGAGAAGATCCTCACTTCCTAATTGGTGTAAACAAGGAAAACTAAGTAAAGAGAAAGCAGAGGCAGACATTCACCTTGCCTGCCTGGGCCCAGGTCACTGATTTTTCTCACTCGCCCTTTGCCACCGTGCAGAAGTCTTTTTATCCAAAGGATCAATTTTACCAGGGAATTGCTTTCTGAATTTGACCTTTGAGGATCATCAATCTAAGCAGGGAACTGTAACCCCAGCAGGCTGACCCCTCAGCACAGCACTTTTCAGCCCAATCAATCAGGCTGCATTATTTAATGGCCAACAGCCGAGCGCTGTCAGCCAGCCCTGTTTTGGGGAGAAGGCTTTTGCATCCCAGCCTTCCTGCTGCTTGGGCTCAGAGGCTCATCTTCAACCCCTTCTTCAGGCTTCTCTGCCTCCTTCTCTGGGCCTGCAGCCCAAGGACATGTGCTTGTTGATGGTCTGTGCACAGCCAAGACTCAGCTGGCAGAGACTGGAGCAAATGGCATTAGCCCAGTCCCCTGGGTGGGAGCTGCTAGTCCTGCCTGCCTCTGCCCGTCTTCCTCGGCGGCCAGCCACGGCAGGAAGGAGAGGATGAAGGGAAAGGTTAGGAGCTACTTAGCAGTGAGGCTTAAATAGCAGGCTCGGGGCAGACACCTGCGCCGTGTCCTGCAGCGATGGCCCCGCTCCAGCCCCGGGGCTGCTCCAGCAAAGTGCTGGTTGCAATATGGTCTCTCTGGCTCTGGAGGGCTGAAGAGCCAGGAGTGTTTCTCCTCCAACTCGTGGGTCAAGGCACACACTGACAGTGCTGTTCCTCAGTGAGCATTCAGAGCCCACGGTGGTGAAGAGCCCGAGGAGAGCAGCCCCAGAGCACACCCGTGAGCAGCACCCATGGCCTGGGGACACCCATCCTGCACTGGGTAGCAGGTCACACAACTGCATTGTGCATTAAACAGAGACTGGCTCACACTGTTCCCAGCAAGGGAGGCTGGGGCACTGTGTGGCCCAGGACGTTACAGTTTGCACAATGGGGTATTTAGGAGCTTATTTTAGTGCAGTTGTTCAGCTGCTGCCTTTCCTCAGAGTGGTGCAGTGCGATCTGATGCTGCCAATGCCTCCACCAGGGAACATCATGGAGCTTGGAGCGCCAAGGAAAGTTTACAGGAAAGTGTCCTTCTTTTTTTTTCTTTTCTTTTTTTTTCCCAGCCATAAAGAACAGTTTCCTGCATTTCTCCAAGTCAGCATCCTGGAGGTCACAGCAGCGAGCGGCTGGAGAGGTGTCTGGTGCCAAGCCCACGTGTGAGGGAAGGAGATGCCCATGCAGAGGAAGGGGGTGAGTGCAGAAGCCATGCTGGGATTGGGAAAACAGCCCCTTTCCCTGAGCTTTCATTAATAATTACTTTTGAAGTGATTTTAAAAAGTCCTCCCAGCCCTTTGTTTTCCTTCCGAGGATTCTTATGTGTTTTACAACCTCTTTTTTTGTCCATAACCCCACTTGCAGAGCAGGGAAGTAAGGCAAAGAAAGGCAAAGAGCACCTCCTTATCCCTCTCCCTCCCCATGGGGCTGAGACAGTGTTGGGGTGCTGGTACCCCCCTTCAGGACTGATGCGGTGACCCCGCTGCTGTGTGGGGTAGGGCTGGAGGAACCACTTGCTGGCTGGAGACCCAGAGAGCTGTTCTGTCCCCTTGCACCTTCCACCGAGTTCCCATGGAGACAACACTGCCCTGAGCTCCTTAAAAAATCCTGGGACAGGACACGGAGCAGCAGAAGTCCACCACAGTGGGCTACCATCTCCTTTCCAAGTCTCCTTCCAGCCCAGCCTGCACATTCCTCTCCACCCTGTGCTCACCACGAGGATGCTGCCGTGTGTCCCCAGGGATTCTGTGGAGACTGGTCCCCTCCTGCTGGTTTCTGAGACACTGGGCTCCTGCTTTTCACCCTTACCCGTGTGGCTTTGCCCCCCTGCTCCCCCTCTGCTCCCTGAGCTGGTGCTGGGGAGAGGCAGCGCTCAGAGAGCTGCTAATGACTGCCGGCCAAAGGAAGGCTTATCAGAGCTTCCCCTGAATTGTTTGCTCTCACTGTAATTGATGAGCCTTTAATGAGTCTCATGGGACGATGTGTTTGAAGGGAGCTCTTTCCTCTCCATCCCCAAGGAAAATGATGTTTCAACTGATCTCGGCTCTCGGGGAAACATGAATAACTCTTTTCCATCTCTCTATTGTCATCCCCAGCCGTTGCTCTCAGCACGCTCCAGCAGCTGCCTGGCCATCACTTACCCACTTTTACCTGCTCCTTTGCAACTGTTTTGGCAGCTCAGCAAAAGCAGGGAGCAAATCTTTTGGGCAAAGCATAACGGGTGCTGAGCTTGGATTGTTTCTGGCCCATCTGTGCGTGTGGAAGCAGGTAAAAATAGCTTCTAATGGCTGGGCCATGGAAGAAGCGCAGTCCCTTTGTGGGGAGCAGTTATATGAGGATTTGCCTTGCTGGGAGATTGCTCTGGCAGAGGTTTGCTATTGCCAG